CCTGACCTCATGCTACATTGCTCATTTATTCATTTAACAAATACTCACTGAGCTGCTGCTGAGTGCCAGGCACTGCCCTAGGTCCTGAAGATACAGTGGAGAATAGGATGGAGTCAGTCCCTGCCCGTGGGGATCTTACGGCTCAGTGGGACAGAAAGCCAAGGAAACAAAAGAGATTTCTCTGATGGAGGCCTGACGGGCCATTCTTGAGGATCAGCATGGTGCTGAAGAAGATGGGTGCTGGAAATGCGCAGGTCAACTCCTAGCCCTGTGCCTTTGGGCAAGTTAGCTCCCTTTGTGGGAGATTTCTCATCCATAAAATGAGGAAGAGGTGTAGGGGTTGTTAGGAGAATTTAAATGCATTCATACATGTAAAGCATGATTACTGGCTCAGGGTAAGCACTCAATAAATGGTCGTTTTAACTGCTATTCTTAGGAAGTGATACCTTAAGTGAAACCCCTTATAGTATAAGGTACAGCAGTCTTCTACTTTAAAATTTAAGACAAAATTAAGAACATCTTTCCCTTTATGATCAGTCCATCACGAAGAAGAGATGGAGGAAAGAAATCACCCTTCCTTGCTTTGCATCTATGGGGTACCAGGCACTTATTAGAAAACATTTATGGGGTCAGCCCAGGGGCATGTTAAGTTCATGTGCTCCACTTTGGTGGCCAGGGTTCATGGGTTCGGATCCTGGGCACGGACCTACACACTGCTCATCAAGCCATGCTGTGGTGGTGTCCCACATACAAAAAAAGGGAAGATGGGCACGGATGTTAGCTCAGTGACAATCTTCCTCAAGCAAAAAGAGGCAGCTGGGCAACAGACGTTAGCTCAGGGCCATTCTTCCTCCCCCCCCCCCCCCACCAAAAGAAAACATTTAATATTCCCAATTGTCAAAAAAGTAGGGATTTTTACAATCCATTATGCAGAGGAGGAACCTGATCTTCAGAGAGGTTAAGGAAATTTCTCCAATGTCACACAGCTAATAAATGGCTGAGGTGGAATCAAAGCCAGGTCTTAGCTGGCTGCAAAGTCCATGTTTTCCATGCCTCCTCCGATATGCTGGGTCTCCAAAGCACTTGGCCCTGACGACTATACTTGCTGTCCAGTCAGTTAATCCTTTGCTTTCTGAGGTTTTCGCTGGCAGGTGGGCCCCACCTGCTTCCATTATGCACTCTGACCCGGACCCTGAGGTGAGTAGAGTTAGCACAGGACTTCCCGCTTCCCCAAGGAGAGTGAATGGCTTGCTCTGTGTCTCCAAGTCCGCTGGGCCTCAGGCAGATGGCTTGTGCATGTGAAAATCATCCAAGGAAAGAGACACAGGAATGGAGTCCACACCCTCTCTCGCTTTCAGACCTTGGGTCTGGACATTAGCCCATGGTTTTTCTCGGCCCTGCCAACTTGTCTTTTTTCAGCTGCATTCATCTCAGTCTTTGGTGTCTGCTGGGTGCTCTTTCTGATTTCTCATGGGAGCAGCAAGAGCCTGAGGAAGCAGTAGGGTCAGAGGAGAGGGGAGAACAGGAAATATGAGAGGCCCAGGAAATGAAAGGTCTGTTGGAGACGCTGAGCTCCCAGGGAATAGACACAGGTTCTTTTTATTTCAATAATAATAACAAACAACAACTGATGTGACCATGTACCTGGTACTGTTAAAGTGCTGTCCTCACGGAGTCTCTTGACATCTCCTCGAGAATCCTAGGAGATGGGCACTATAATTATCTTCATTTTATAGACGTGGACACTGAGGCACAGAGAGGCTAAGTAATTTGCCCAAGGTCCTACAGCTAGTAAGGGGAGGGGCTGGCATTTGAACCCAGGCTTCTTTAGTTAGTGAGCTTAACCAATATGTCATATTGCTTTTTGATAGGGAGGGAGGGAGGGAGTGAACGAGTGAACAAATGAGTCTGGGGTTTGGGACCTGCCTCATTCACCCAGAGGCAGTGTGCAGAGAGGCAGTGCGCAGGCAGGTGTCCTTTGGGGTCAGCAGAGTTGGGTTGGAATTCAAGTTCTGCCACCTCATGGCTACGTGACCTTGGGCCAGTAACCTAATCTACAAGCACTCATTTCCTTATCTTCAAAATGGGAATAATAATCTTTTCCCCCTCAGGCCTTGGTGAGGATTAAATGAGGGGCTCTGTTAAGCTCTTAGAGCCCCATACCTGGCACATAGAAAGTGCTCAGTAGGAGTTGACTGTTAGTATTATTATCACTGCTGCTATGCGGGGAGATTATACTAACGTGGCATAATTGCAGCTGTATAAAATTGGAGCTGCATGTTGACAAGGACTAGAAGGGACTATGAAAACAGCTGTTAAGGAATGAAAGGGAGTTAAAGAAAGTTTCTTCAATGCTTCATCATTTTTTAGTAAATGTTCCTCAGTGGAATAAATAAAACATACATGCAGTGGTGCTCAATGGCCTTTGAATGTATGAATGAAAAACATTCTAACTTGGTTTTATTGGTTGAGTCCATTGCTTAAATATCATACCATATCACAGTGGATACCCTTGGGGGGTTGCCTCTGGAAGGGAGTCAGTGCAGAAAAGAGTTAACATTGCAGGCCTGCAGTTACAACTCTGTAAATGCTGAATTTACTGCTAGGGGTTTGAATAAATTCACAATGAGAAAAAAAGGGAGATTTTTTTTTTTTAAATGGCTTTGTATTTTCTGCCCGTTGTATCTGGATATACGATAAAGTTGATTTAAAATGTTATATATGCTTATAATTTTATAAATGCTAGAGGGATCACCCTAATTAAAGAAAGATGCAAAAAAATAAAATTATGAAGGTGTTGCGGGGGGAGGTGCAGCTTCCTTGCTTTTTGCCACCAGTGTGTAGGTTGGAATTTAAATTCTTTTGGTATTGGAACGAGAACCAGTCTCCATAACTGATGATTTTTGCTATGATTTGTGTCTGTTGGAGCCTCAGGAAGGAAGGAGACAACATGAACAAAGAGGCAATCTCTGGATAGAAATACACATTTAGAATTTGAAAAAGCAGTTAAATTGCTAATAAGCCCATGTTGAAATCAAATGTCTGACGCGTAGAGGCTGATGACTGTGCAGCCTGCTGTGCGTATTTTTGAGTGGATCAGTTTGGACTCTACAACTGACAAGATAAAGAGGAAGCCTTGCTGGTCACTTGATCTTGGACCTGGCTGGCTGGCACTGCCGCCTGCCTTTGCTGCTGCCGAAGAAAAGCAGCTGGCTTGTTGGGAATCCCAAATTCACTGATCCTAATGGCCTGGACCTTACTCTAAGCTGAAAAAGTGATACTGACAGCCGTGAGCTGCTTCAGCCTCAACAGGAGCTGTGCTAAACTGAAAGCAGACACAGGCTCTATGAACAGGACTCAGACCCCAGGACCACTGGAGATTTAGGACCCCTTCTGTGGAGCTCTAAATTATGGAAACATACATCCTGAATGCTGGCTGGACCAGCTGGGTCACATAGAGATGCCCACAGGAAAGGGCGTGTTCTCTGATGGGACCGTCTGAAATCAAGCCGCTGATCAACTCTTTATCTCCGATGCAGAGGTTAAATTGCATCCTAACTTGTCATCCCTGCCAGAAGCTGCAAGTTGGGGGAGGGCACATCACAGGGACTGTGACCCCTCCACCTGCTTTTGACAAATCAGACCTTCTGGACCTTCTCTGGGGGATATCTAACTGCTGTTGACTCGTGTTCAGCTTTCTGGATTCGTTGCAACTTGCCACAATGGGGTGATGGCCTGACTCTACAGCCTGACTTTTCCCCCAGGACAGACACTTACTAAGGTGAGGTAGCTTGACTATTCAAATGTAGCTGTCTTTAGAAAGGCATTTATCTTTTCTAAGCTGCTTTCTGGATGAAAAGCTAGGAGGTTATGTAAACCCATTTTGAAATGTTTGAAAATTCAGGATTTCATCCTCTAGGATCAGCTAGGGCTGCCAAACAAAATGCCACAGACTGAGCGGCTCAAACAGTAGAAATTTATTTTCTCTCAGTGCTAGAGGCCAGAAGTCCAATCAAGGTGTTGGCAGGTTTGGTTTCCCTGGGGCCTCTCTCACTGGCTTGCAGATGGTCGCCCTCTGTCTGGGTAGCCTGTGTCCTAATCTCTTCTTAGAAGGACACCAGTCATATTGGATTAGGGTCCACCCAAACAACCCCATTTTACCTTAATCACCTCTTTAAAAGCCCTATCTTCAAATGCAGTCACAGTCTGAAGTACTGGGGGGTTAGGGCTTCAACTTATGAATTTTGGGGGAACACAATTCATTTCTGCATATGTCTTTCTAGTTATGTCATATAAAAATGTTTATCTGGGGGGGCTGGCCCCGTGGCTGAGTGGTTAAGTTTGCGTGCTCCGCTGCAAGCGGCCCAGTGTTTCGTTGGTTCGAATCCTGGGCGCGGACATGGCACTGCTCATCAAACCACGCTGAGGCAGCGTCCCACATGCCACAACTAGAAGGACCCACAACGAGGAATATACAACTATGTACTGGGGGGCTTTGGGGAGAAAAAGGAAAAAATAAAATCTTAAAAAAAAAAAAATGTTTATCTGGGGCCGGCCCCGTGGCCGAGTGGTTGAGTTCGCGCGCTCCCCTTCGGCGGCCCAGGGTTTCGCTGGTTCGGATCCTGGGCGCAGACACGGCACTGCTCATCAGGCCATGCTGAGGCGGCGTGCCACATGCCACAACTAGAAGGACCCAGAACTAGAATACGCAACTATGTACCGGGGGACTTTGGGGAGAAGAAGGGAAAAAATAACCCGTTTATCTAGAGAAATGCTTTTGTGCCTCTTGCATACAACCCTTCCAGATGAAAGGCCTGGATGAGAGTAAGAGGTGATGGAAAAAACATCAAGTTAGTGTTGCTGATCCGTAGGGCACACTAATTTTGTAACAATGGAGGAAAAGTAAAAACTTGACACCTGGGGAGCCTTGGGTAGGGGTGGGGGGCATTTATGATCTGTTTTTCCAAACTCTCCCTGAAAGCTTTCCCCTCCTCCTGAAGGAAGAGGCCCACTGCTGCCTCTCCATGCACTGGGAGTGCTTTGACTTCAGCCTGTGGAGCTTGGGATCACGCCTGGCAGCCCTGATACGTGACACCAGAGGGGGCCCAGCTCCTGCGCTCTCCATGCAGAACACCTTCAAGCGTTGTGCGCACTCATGAGATGGATAGACACATAGAATGGACAAGCGAAACTGTGTGGAATCAACTCCCTTCAGGCAGTCCCTCATAAACCAAGGACTGGGTGAGTTTCTCAGGGTGGCCTGGAAACTCTAGGGCAGGAGGCCCCATGGTAGGAGGTGACATTGGGGGCCCTGTTAACCTCTACTGCCTAACTAATGTATGTCCCACTTGGGGCACCCTAACACTGTAAACTCGTTTCCAGGGGGACCACACGTGCCCTCTGGGATGGCACTTCTGCCTGTGTGCCCTGACTGTCGCCACACTGCCTCAGCCCTGGAAGGCTTCAGGTCAGCTTGAGTTTACTGGCCATAGCTGTGCTGTACCTGAGTCGTTGCCTTTGGCCAGGCAAAAACAAGTCATACAGAAACCGAAGAGGAGGCCATGAGGCTTTCTAAGATGTAAGATAGACTTGTAGAGTTAATGGGATCTATTTTAACTGGCTAAATCTAGGACCCCTAACAGGTCTAACTGAGATCAGTACTGCCGGTTGATCTCACCCTTTTATGTGGGCTCCTACTGATCATAATTTTGCTGGAAAGAAGCCTGGCCAAGGGCCAAGGAGGGTGGACTGTGCAGAAAAGAGTTAATCACGCAGGTCTGACCCTGCTCTCCTCAGCAAGGCCTGTTAGCAAGGTTGTCCCCTGCCTGGTGACCGGGAGCTTGGATTTGGGGAGGGTCTCACCATTCCCTAGGTGATGAGGGTGCTCACTGCCTAAACTGTTTGTGCCAACAGTGTGGTTTATGCTGAACACCTGCTTTCCTTCTGGGAATCTGGAATTTTGGTATGTGCTAGGCAGAGGGTGCCTATGTGACCAGTCCCCAGTGAAAACCCTGGACACTGAGTCTCTAATGAGCTTCGCTCGCTGATAGATAAGATGTTGCACATGTGGTCACAACTCACTGCTGGAGGAATGAAGTGTGACTCCAGTGGGAGAGGACTCTGGGAAGCTTGCGCCTGGTTTCCTCTAGACGTCGCCTTGAGCGCCGTTCCCCGTGCTGGTAGCCCCAAGCTGTGATGCGGCCCAGCTGCCGTGAGTAGGCTGTATGCTGAGTCCTCTGAGGCTCCTAGTGAGTCATCGCACGGGGCCCCCCAGCACAGGGCACAGGGGGACTTCTGGGGTGTAGGTAATGTTCTCTTTCTCAGTCCCGGTGCGGTTGACGTGGGGTGTGTTCAGTTTGTGAAAATTCACTGAGCTCTACAATTATGTAATATACATTTTTTCTGTACACAGATTCAACTTCAATAAAAAGATAAAATAGAAGATTACACAGCACTGGGATCAAAAATAATAACTTAGTTAAAAAAAAAAACTTCCCTTTATCCAGCAGACATTTTAGTTACCCCTTTTTACCAGGCATTGCGCTGGGAGCGTGGTATGTGGGGTAGGAAAGACATCATCATTGCCTCTCGGTTTATTTGGGGGCAAGTAAAGGGATCCTTACAGCGTGGTTGATTTTTGCTGGGCTCTTTCAGAGACATCATATGGTGCGAGGGGCCACAGAGAAAGGGCTTCTAACTCGGGTATTTTGCCATTGCAGGGGTGCCACTCACGTATTTGTGGAAGCCAGACAGGCAATGGGCAAAGGGGATAGCTGGGATCTGAGGCACACCAGGAAGCTATGGTGGCAAGAGTTGCCAGAGCTTCTAGTTTTTTCGGGAAAAGCCACAAATCTGAATTTTTATGTGAACCCTCTAGATTTTTTTGAGGAAGATTAGCCCTGAGCTAATATCCACTGCCAATCCTCCTCTTTTTGCTGAGGAAGATGGGCCCTGAGCTAACATCCATGCCCATTGTCCTCTACTTTATATGCCAGATGCCTGCCACAGCATGGCTTGCCAAGTGGTGCGTAGGTCCATGCCTGGGATCCGAACTCGTGAACCATGGCTGCCCAAGCAGAGTATGCCAACTTAACCCCTACGCCACCAGGCCACCCCCAGAAGCCTCTTGACTTTTAAGTGCTGTGAATGAATCCAAATTTTAAAAAGTGGGAGGCCAAACAAAACACCCCTGCAGGCCAGGTTTGGCCTTGGCCTGCCAGTTTGCCAGGCATTCTGCCCACCAGCCATCCTCCCTCTGAGCAAACAATTGAGGGTCGGCTCTCTCTGACACTGGAAATACAGCAGTGAGCAAGCCAGACCGCTGACTTTCTTGCCCGGTGGGGGCTCTCCTACTGTGCTTCCCAGACTGCGGCGTGTAGGAATCACCTGGGCAGCTGCGTTGGAAGTCAGATTCTGACTCGGGAGGTCTGCGCTAAGGCCTGAAATTCTGCCTTTCCAACAAGCTCCCAGGTGGCGGCGATGCTGGCCGCCTGAACCGTCCTCGGAGCGCCGTTGGCCTGCAGTCCAGGGCGGCTCAGGAGCAGCTGTTATTTGAAGGAGGGGAGTGGGCGCTTGCAATGAGGGTGCGCTTGCTTAGCAAGCAGCCTGCTTTTACTTAGATTTTAGTTTATTGGGGTGACTTGGAAGAGAGAGCAGATGACATCAGAGGCGGGTGCTAAGGCTCTCCTAACCTATCTCTTGGCGCTGCCGGGTCTCTCTTCTCAGAGTTTACATTCTAGAAAGTGGGGTGGGGGTGGAGGGAGGGGTTGGGAAAAGCTTCCTGGAGGAGGTGCCTGTGAACTGGAGGAGCTTCCCCGGCCGCGAGAAAGGGAGAAACCCTGAACTCGCGCTCTCCTGGGGCTGGGGCTGGCTTCCCCACGCCGCGGATGGTTTCCCAGGCATCCCACGTGACTGCTGTCCGCGAGTCCCTGTCAATCAAGTGTTTTCCCCGCCTGGGAACGGGTTTAAAGGCGGCTGCGGTGCAGAGCGGTCCCAGAGTGCCGCGCGGCGGGCGGGTTTGGATTTTAAATCCCCGCGGCCAATCAGGGGCGCGCAGGCTGCAGTAACGTTCCCGGCGCCGCGTTTGAATTCGAGGAGGAGCGGAGCCGTGCCAAGCCTCTGCCCAGACCCTACTAGGTCCGCTGAGCAACTCCGGGAACATGAGTGCGGCGGCAACTGCAGGGAAGCTGGCGCGGGCACCAGCCGACCCAGGGAAAGCCGGGGCACCTGGAGTTGCAGCTCCCGGGGCCCCGGCGGCTGCCCCGCCGGCGAAAGAGATCCCGGAGGTCCTAGTGGACCCGCGCAGCCGCCGGCGCTATCTGCGGGGCCGCTTTCTGGGGAAGGGCGGCTTTGCCAAGTGCTTCGAGATCTCGGACGCAGACACTAAGGAAGTGTTCGCAGGCAAGATTGTGCCAAAGTCGCTGCTGCTCAAGCCGCACCAGAAGGAGAAGATGTCCATGGAGATATCCATTCACCGCAGCCTCGCCCACCAGCACGTCGTAGGCTTCCACGGCTTCTTCGAGGACAACGACTTCGTGTTCGTAGTGTTGGAGCTCTGCCGCCGGAGAGTGAGTATCGCCGCTGGGAGACTGGAGCTGCCCGGGGGCCGGGGTTGGGGCGTCCGGGGCTCGGAGCTGGTAGGGAGGAGGTGCTGGGAACCTTGAGCTAGGGATGGAAAAGATCCCGGGTAGAGGGTGCTTGGCACTCGGAGCTGCTGCGGGGGGGGGGGGGGGGGGTGGGGGGGGGGCGTTCCGGTTAAGTGGAGCGCGAGACCTGTTGCTGCTAGAGAAGGCGGCTCCTGGACGCGAGGTGTTGGGCGGAGGGAGGGCGGGGGAGGCGCGGGGCCGGGGAGAACCGTGGTAATGGACCCACTTACCGGAGTTGCTAAGGGAGGAGTCCCAGGTAAGGGGTGCTGTGGACCCGGAGATTCCGGAGTGGGGTCGAGTCAGGGAGAGGGTGGTTGAAGCCAAACTTCGGAGCTTCCGGGGAAGAGCGGTGGCGAAAGGGATCTGCCCGGGGAGGGGATATTGAGAACGCTGAGCTTCCAGAGTGGGGCTGAGAAGGGACTCCCAGGTAAGGGGCTTGAGAGGGGCTGCTATGAACGATTGTGGCCGGGATTAGGGGAAAGTCCAGATCGCAGTTGTCCTGGAGAAGGAGTTGGGGGGAGGGCCCTGGCTGCCTTTACCTAATGACACCTCCTCACCCCCTTGGGCCTCCTCACTTCTCCTCTCCTTCCCCCGCCCAGTCTCTCCTGGAGCTGCACAAACGGAGGAAAGCACTCACCGAGCCCGAGGCCCGCTACTACCTGCGGCAGATCGTCCTCGGCTGCCAGTACCTGCACCGAAACCGGGTTATTCACCGGGACCTCAAGCTGGGCAACCTCTTCCTGAACGAGGATCTGGAGGTGAAAATAGGTGAGGTGCTGGGCCTGCAGGGCGGCTTGACACCACTACAGGAAGTGGGAATGAGGCGGAGGCTGGGGGAGGAAATAGGAAGGAGACAGGGAGGGAGAGGGTGGTGGAAGTCTGGGCTGTTGATTGCCTCCAGAATCTTCTCTTTAGGGCAGACATTTAAAACAGAGCTCACAAGCCAGTATCTTGCCTGCAGATGCCTTTTATGTGCCCCTACACAGAATTTTTTAAAAAGAATTTGAATTAGGTTCCAATTTTTCATATTAGGTTTGACATAAAAACTTGGATTTGGAGCTCCTTTTAAACAATCGGAAGCTCCAGCAGTTCAGGGACAGATTCCCTTAGGGCAACTCTTTGCTGGGCTGAAAAGCTCCTGTTCCCTTTAGGCAGGCTCCCTCTGGTTTGCTACTGTCCCCACCCCTCCCTATTACTTCCTCACAAACTTGCCAAGTAGCAGTCTTGATGTTGACTTGCTTGATCTCTGAAGGTGTTTGAGTTTTGCTGTCCCCATCAAGTCCCTTTTAGAAGCACAGCCCTCCTTTCTAAGGAGAGGAGGAGGAGCGTCCTGGGGAGGCCCCCCTGGGGCCAGTATGCTGGGAGACTCCTGGGCAAGCCTTGCTGTGCACAAGGAAGGGAGGCTTGAGGTTCAAATGACCCTGGTTCTTGATGGTGAGACCGGAAGCAGATGTCTGCAGTGACAGCTGACAGAGGCTAACATCCGAGTGCCCCCTCTTCCTCCCTCTGTCTCAGGGGATTTTGGACTGGCAACCAAAGTCGAATATGATGGGGAGCGGAAGAAGACCCTGTGCGGGACTCCTAACTACATAGCTCCTGAGGTGCTGAGCAAGAAAGGGCACAGCTTCGAGGTGGACGTGTGGTCCATTGGGTGCATCATGTAAGTTGGCTGTTGTCTCAGGACCCACTCGGCCTCAGCAGGGGCCCTTTTGCACATCTCCCCTGGCTGACTTTAGCCTGTGGACCTTTCTGCCTATGGAAAGGCTGCTCCAGGGGACAGATTGCCCAAAATAAAGCCTAATTCCCATCTCTCTCCTTGTCACTGGTGTATCCTGTAGGATTCCTGCAGCCTGGTCCAGGGAAGGGAGAGGGAAGGTCTCCACAAACTTGCTCTAGCCCTTCGCTACCCAAAGTGGTCCCCGGAGACCAGCAGCATCATCCCCTGGGAACTTGGTAGAAATACAGAGTCTCAGGACCCAGACTACTGGATCAGAATCTGGATTTCAAAAGATCCCGGGGTCATTCTTGTCTACAATAAATTTTAGAACCACTGGTCTAGAAAGGAGCATTGGGTGGGAGGAACAGGCCGGGAGTGAGGGCTGGCAGGAGGCAGTGTCTGTGACCTGTCTGGATCGAGGCCGTCAGGGGGGCTGGGTGGTGGGCAGAGGCTGGGGCCTTCTCAGGTGTTAGCTTTTTGTTGTTGGCCTGGGCACTGGAGAGTTAGACATGAGTCAGAGCAATGGCTTTCACACTTCCTTGCAATGGAGGTTTTCCAAGTGGAAACTTCAAGCTTTAAGTTCTGCACCATTGAACATGGAGCTGCTTCCGTCAGAACAGGTCGTCCACCCACTTTGACCTGTTTCGTGTTGGCCGACGGCCTCTGGGGCCCTGGATCACCACAGGCTGTAGTTGAAAGTCACTGGCCCCGGAGCTCTATCTCATCACCTGAATTCTCCTGAGGGCTCTCCCCGCCAGTGTCCCGGCTCCTGGGGCTGCTCAGGGGACGTGGGGACTGTCCTCAGGCTCAGAGTGAGTGTCCCAGGGATGCCTGGCCTCCACTCTGGCCCTGAGATGATTCCTCCCATGTCTGAGTTTTGGCTGAGAGTCTGGAGCGACGTCCCACCTTGTTCCTACAGGTATACCTTGTTAGTGGGCAAGCCGCCTTTTGAGACCTCTTGCCTAAAAGAGACCTACCTCCGGATCAAGAAGAATGAATACAGCATTCCCAAGGTGACTGAGCACACTTTAAGTTTACATTTATTTTGTTTTGTTTTGTTTTCTCCCCAAAGCTATTTACTGAGCTGGGGTAACTGCAGAGCTCTGGAGGGCCCGTGTCTGAAACTGCATGCAGAGCCTGACGTCTGTGCACAAAGAAGCAGAAGTGCTGTTTGAGCTTTGGAAAGGGACGGTCTTGATTCAAATGGGCTCTGCCACTTAGCAGCCAGGTCACAATGGGCAATTGGCCTGAATCTTCTGTAGTCTCCCATCTATAAGATGGAGTCACTGCCTCTGGAGCACCTTGGGGTGCCTTACATATACAGTAAGAGCTCACAGAATTGTGAACCTCTGTGAGTCCAAAGTGGTGTGCATTTTCACAGCCACCAGTGTAAACACACCGAAAGGGATAGCCTGTTCCTGTGGAAGCCTGGCACACAGCTGCTTTCCAGTTTGGTATCCTCACCTTGTCTGAGGGCAAGAGTCCTGTCTCCATAGGGACAGACGGACTAAATCAGTCAAAGGGTCAGACAGAGCATGGCGTGGTTCAGAGTGTGGGTGCCTGAGCCTTCTAGACTCCTTCGGAGTGGGTGCTGCTCCACCACTCACTAGGTGTGTGTTCTTAGGAAAGGCTCCTAACCTCTCTGTGCCTCAGTTTCCTTATCTGCAAAAGGGGCATGGTGGTAGAGATCTGTGCCTCCTAGATGTCTTTTTGACCGTGAAATGAGTAATATTCTTTAAGTGCTTAGAAGGCTTTCCTGGCACATAGTAAGTGCGTAGCCACTGGTAGGCTGTCACTATGTACCTGACCTGTGCTAGGGTGAGTCTTCTCCCTGGGGCTCCAAGCTTGGCGCTGCGTCCCCAGTTCAGAGATGAAGATGCAAAGGCCCTACAAAGTCGGGTTACTTGCCGCAGCTGGTGTTGAGTGGCAGGCTGGGATTTGAACCCAGTTCTTTATGACCTCAGAGCCTGTGTTCTCAAGTGCTGCTCCAGTGGTGAGCATCTCAAATTAAGGGAGCGCAAATTCAGGGGAAAAATGACCTCAAGCTAATCTTGAGTCTCAGGAGGAAGGAGAAATGATCGTCCTCACTTAGGTTGGTGCCTGCTGACTCGGAAGCCGATAGTGGGGAGTGTGGCCTGTTGGAGACCAGGGGCCCGCGTGTGGACCAGGACATGCAGTTCCTCTGTGACAGTGCTGGACTCAAGTCCCCATTAATCCTGCTTATGGCTCTCCCTCTCTCTGCTCCAGCACATCAACCCGGTGGCCGCCTCCCTCATCCAGAAGATGCTGCAGACAGATCCCACTGCCCGCCCGACCATTCACGAGCTGCTCAATGACGAGTTTTTCACTTCTGGCTATATCCCTGCCCGTCTCCCCATCACCTGCCTCACCATTCCACCGAGGTTCTCAATCGCTCCCAGCAGCCTGGACCCCAGCAACCGGAAGCCTCTCACAGTCCTCAATAAAGGTAAAGCAAGGGGCTGGGGAGACAGCAGACCCCCAGGGAGAGCCTAGGCTGCAGTGCGTGGATGGGTGGTCCCCAGAGCTCATGTGTGCAGTAGGACAGGCCCTGGTCCTTGAATCCCCAGCTCCCACCCTCCCATGGCAAAATGCCCTTCTTCCCCTTGACCTTGTCAGGAAAGACAGACCTTGCCATGGCTGAATCAGCCCCGTCAGGCCAAAAAGAGAGTGGACTGAATGTCACACCTGAAAAATTCTTATCATTTAAAAAAATTCCTAACATCACTCTTGCATGGGTCATTGAAAAAATATGAGAAATTTCAAATATACACATGGAACATAGTGTAGTAGCCCCCACGTACCCAACAGCTATCAACATTTTGTCACGTTTGCTTCATCTCTCCTTTTTTGTTCCTTTGAAGTTTTTTTTTGTCTCTCCCCAAAGCCCCCGAGGACATAGTTGTATATTTTAGTTGCGAGTGCCTCTGGTTGCGCTGAAGCATTTTTGAAGTTAATCCCAGACATCTCATCATTTTATCCTCATAAACTTCGGTATATGCTTCCGTTTAAAAGGATGGATAGGGCCAGCCCAGTGGCACAGCAGTTAAGTTCGCACATTCCACTTCTCTGCAGCCTGGGGTTCGCAGGTTCGGATCCTGGGTGCGGACATGGCACCGCTAGGCAAGCCATGCTGTGGTAGGCATCCCACACATAAAGTAGAGGAAGATGGGCACGGATGTTAGCTCAGGGCCAGTCTTCCTCAGCAAAAAAAAAGAGGACGATTGGCAGCAGATGTTAGCTCAGGGCTAATCTTCCTCAAAAAAAAAAAAACAAAAACAAATAAAAGGATGGACATTTTCTTATAAAGCCACCTACCATTGCTTGGGTTGTCATTGTTCTAGGTCTCTTCAGGGGACAGAATTAGGAAGTACATAATTTGGGGGAGACAACCTTGAGTTTATGCTGATATTTCTCGTTCATGTTTTTCAACATTTTATTTTGTTATTTCAAACTTATGAAAAGTTATAAAAATAGACAAAAACCTCCTGTACCCGCTTACCCAGATCCACCAATTAACATTTTTTTCACATTTGCTGTATCAGTGTCTTTCTCTTTATAGACATATACAAATATATATATATTTTTTCCTGGACCATTTGAAAGTAAGTTGTGTACATCCTGGCCTTTACCACTTAACACTTCAGTGTGTATTTCCTGAGAGCAAAGATGCTTTTGCATAACCACAGCACATGGCACAGTTAGCAAGTGTAGGAAATTTGACACTGATACAATCTTGTCTTATAGCAAATCTTTTTCTCTGGTATGGCGTTACTACTTTTCTTTTGGTAATTTATAAGTGTCTGATTCAAATATATTACAGGATTTTTACTTCTTTGATTTTATTTATTCATTTATTTTTTGCTTGAGAAAGATTGTCGCTAACATTGGTGCCAGTCTTCCTCTATCTTATGTGGGATGCCACCACAGCATGGCTTGAGGAGCGGTGCTAGGTGCACTCCTGGGATCCGGAGCCATGAACCCCAGCCACCAAAGCAGAACGCGCGAACTTAACCGCTATGCCTCTGGGCTGGCCCCAACTTCTTTGATTTTATATTTGTATTTCTTTTCCCTTAACTGAAAATCTTGTTTACATACATTAATATACATAAGTTTTTCAACATATATAAACTAATTCCTTTTATTAAATGATGTTTTATTTTCTTGCAGTTCTATTTGTCCTTAGAATACATTTCACTAAGGATATATAGTGTAAAAAAAAAAAAGAGAGGTCGCTTGAAATACTTTTTTTCTCTCTGTGGATATAGCAGCAATTTAATATGTAAATTCATTTGTTTCAGTTATAATCTAATACTGTTAAGGATTACTTTATTCTTTTTTTTTTTTAAATTACTTTTTCAAAGATTTTATTTTTTTCTTTTTTCTCCCCAAAGCCCCCCCGGTACATAGTTGTATATTCTTAGTTGTGGCTCCTTCTAGTTGTGGCATGTGGGACCCCACCTCAGCATGGTTTGGAGAGCAGTGCCATGTCCGCGCCCAGGATTCGAACCAACGAAACACTGGGCTGCCTGCAGCGGAGCACGCGAACTTAACCACTCGACCACGGGGCCAGCCCCTACTTTATTCTTTTGGTTTCAATTTTTGACATCTCTTTCTCTTGGTGAGGTTAATCTTGATCATAGTGCTGTCTGATGATTTCTCCCCTGCAGAGTTACTGTTTTTCCCTTTTTTTTTTTTTTTTTTACTTTTTATTAAGATTACGATAGTTTACAACCTTGTGAAATTTCAGTTGTACATTATGGTCAGTCGTGTTGTAGGTGCACCCTCTCACCCTTTGTGCTCACCCCCACCCCCCCTTTCCCCTGGTCACCACCAATCCTGTTTTTCCTTTTGTAATTAATACATTCCTTGCTGGGAGCCACTTTGAGGCTTTCCTGTTTCTCCTCAAACTTTTGCCCACCTATCTTAGCATCCATGGTGGATCTTGCCTGCAGCAATTATTACCATGGTATTCCAACAGTGCCTTTCCTCTTTCCTCGCTCCCTCTGCACTCGTCAGTTGGAATTCTTCTGTAAGGTAGACCTGTCGCTTCTCTCCCATATATTTATTTATTTGGTTATTTGTGTCACTATGGACTCGTGGATATTTATTCTTTGGCCTATAATGTAATATTATTTTAAGGATAGCTTTTTTTCTTTTGGTTTTAATTTTTGAACATAAAACATTTTTTAAAAACTTCTTGGGCTTGGCCCCATGGCCGAGTGGTTAAGTTTGTGCGCTCCGCTGTGGCGGCCCGGGGTTTCGCCGGTTCGAGTCCTGGGTGCGGACATGGCACCGCTCATCAAGCCATGCTGAGGCAGCATCCCACATGCCACCACTAGAAGGACCCACAACTAAAAACATACAACTATGTACCAGGGGGCTTTGGGGAGAAAAAGGGAAAATAAAATCTTTAGAAAAACAACAACAAAAACTTCTTATGCTGGGAATTTTCAAACTTACCCAAAAGTAGAGGGAACTGTAAGATGACCTCCCATGTATTCATCATCCACTGTCAGCAGTTATCAACATTTGCCGGTACTTGTTTTTATCTATCCCACTCCCGCCTCCCTTTCTTGCTAGAGTTTTTAAAAGCAAATTCCAAATATCTTATTATTTCACATTTAAGTCCTTAGCATAGTTTTTTTAATTGAAAACTCTGATCTTTAAATATTTTAAGAGGAATTTCACATATACAAGGAGAACTAGCACATGTTGGTGGGGAAAGAATTAAACATCTAAGCATAAGGACAATAAGAATCATGCATGCTTCTACCACTCAAATATAACCCATGTTAAAATTTCAATGTGTATCTTCTCAGACTCTTTTTGGTCACATATGAGTATATAAAGCAAATTTTAGGGTGGAAAAAAATTTCTTACATTTTCGTTAAATGCCTCCTTAATCCATCCTGCCGATCTGTGATATATTGAGCCTTCCATTTTCCTGGTGCTGAAGATGCTTTTAATTCTTGGCTTGAAGCTGGGCGGCTCCAAACTGCTGGTGCCTTTGACCTGTCTCCCCGAGTGACGGGTGGTGTGCTGCAGCGTCAGGGCCTGAGTGTCTGAAGCTCTGTGTGTATGTGGCCGTGAAGCCTGCCTAAAGGGCTTGGCCTGGTCCTGGAGGTAGCAGCGAGTACTGTGCACCTGTCATTAGCACATGAGCTCTAATAACCTGGCACTGACTCAGTTTACCCAAAGCAATGGCAACTAAGAGTTTTTCCCTGGGGAGAGTCCCAGCTGTAGCAGGGGGTCCTGTGCCCCTCTAACCAGCTGATGACCATGTCTCATCTTCTTCCTAGGTGTAGAGAACCCCATGCCCGAGCGGCCCCGGGAAAAAGAGGAACCAGTGGTCCGGGAGACCAGCGAGGCAGTCGACTGCCACCTTGGTGACATGCTGCAGCAGCTGCACAGCGTCAATGCCTCCAGGCCCTCCGAGCGGGGGCTGGTGAGGCAAGGTGAGCACGGCAGGGGCCTGGGAGGGGGGTGCCTGGGGCATCTGGAGAGGGCAGGGAAGTCTCCGCCAGCACAGTATGGGCAGCTTCGCCAGGCCCCTGTCTCCGGAAAACGTTTAGTTCCCCTATTTCCTGTAGATTAAAATCCAGATGAGTTAGCCTGTTGTCCAAGGCCCTCCTCGGCCTGGCCCCTTCCTCCCTTTCCTGACGCGTCTGCTCTAGCTCCACAACTGCCCCGTCTTCCAGCCCTCAGTGTGCTACTGTGTAATCCGCACACGCTGCTGCTTCCGCTCCGTCTTCAAGACAGTCGAAATAACAGCCCCAGACGCGCTCCAGCCTCAGGGCTTGTGCTCACACTGTTCCCTTCTCCTGGAACGCACTTCCTCCACAGATCTGCGTGGCGCACACACTCACCTCCCTCAGCTGTCCCCTCTGCGCATGTCCCCGGGCCCCACTCCTAGCACATCCCCCCTCCCTGCTTTGTAAATTCTCCATAACACTTCTCACCTAATGTATTCTAAAGTTTCCATATCTGTTTATTGTGTTTTTTAAAAAGAGATTATTGCATGCACTGAACATAACATGTTGATGTATTTGGAATTGTCTATCTTCTCACAATTTTTTAATCACTCAAAACTGGAAAACCAGATAAGCCGTCAGCCACGGACTCTCACCATGATCAAAGTAACTGTAATATCTGTCCGTGTTTACTTTGATGAGTCTCTGTCCCTGTGCCTGGAGTGCAAGCTCCATGAAGGCTGAGTTTGTGCCATTGCTCACTGTGCCTGTGACCGTGCCTGGCACACAGGGGGCCTTGGATGAATGCATTCCTGACTGAATGAGTGGACTTGGTACTCTGCCCTGTAACTTTCGTCTTGGACGTCTGTCCTGCTGCTGGTCTGAGCTTGTTGGTGGCAGAGGCCCTGCTTGCTCCTCTCTGGGGCCCCAGGCCTATTGAGCCCAGGTTGGGTGCCCAGCAAGCCTGCCTGGTGTGGACTGCCTGAGGGGACCAGAGGGGAAGAGGCTGGTCCTGACCAGCTCTCCGTCTGTTTCTGTCCCAGAGGAGGCTGAGGATCCCGCCTGCATCCCCATCTTCTGGGTCAGCAAGTGGGTGGACTATTCGGACAAGTACGGCCTCGGTAGGTTTCCTCCAGAATGGGTGGGTGGCTCAGGCCTGGCCTAGTGACCCTTTGAGTTGTTACAGGCTCTTGCCTGTTTTGGCTCAACACTTTCCTATCTCCATCCCAGGCCTCCCCGTTCCAGCTCCCAATGCCCCCCTGCTCCCTACTCCCCCTTTCTGAGGTCTCCCTCCACCTACCGCTAGGGTATCAGCTGTGTGACAACAGCGTAGGGGTGCTCTTCAATGACTCTACGCGCCTCATCCTGTACAATGATGGCGACAGCCTGCAGTACATAGAGCGTGATGGCACCGAGTCCTACCTCACCGTGAGTTCCCATCCCAACTCCTTGATGAAGAAGGTGAGTGCTGGCTGGGTGTGGCCGGGAGTGAGGGATTGGCCTGCCAGGGCCGGGCTCTAACTCTGGATTCCCTCCCTCACTTCCCAACCAGATCACTCTTCTTAAGTATTTCCGAAACTACATGAGTGAACACTTGTTGAAGGCGGGCGCCAATATCACGCCCCGGGAAGGTGACGAGCTAGCCCGGCTACCCTACCTGCGGACCTGGTTTCGCACCCGTAGCGCCATCATCCTGCACCTCAGTAATGGCTGTGTGCAGATCAACTTCTTCCAGGTGAGCCGTGGGTGCCCTGGGGCTGGGGAGATTTGGGGCGGGGTATTGTGACTGTCAGCGGGCCCACAGAGTTGGGTGGGGAGTGGGACAGGCATGGGATCTGTCCTTGCAGTAGGAAGGGAGTGAATTGGGATGAGACCCCCCCGCCCCCGACCCCGTGAACTGGGACATCTTCCCTCTGTCCACATACCTAGCAGCTGGGATCTTCCATCCACTGATCACCCTCTGTCTGTCCATCCCTCCTTCCCTCATAGGACCATACCAAACTCATCCTGTGCCCGCTGATGGCAGCCGTGACCTACATCGACGAGAAGCGGGACTTCCGCACGTACCGCCTGAGCCTCCTGGAGGAGTACGGCTGCTCCAAGGAGCTGGCCAGCCGGCTCCGCTACGCCCGCACCATGGTGGACAAGCTGCTGAGCTCACGCTCGGCCACCAATCGCCTCAAGGCCTCCTCGTAGGCCTCCCTCTCCTCCGGACTGGTGCCCTCCTCTCCCAACCAGCACCTTGGCCCATACTGGTTAGCTCCCATGGTGCTAGTTTTGTAAAGTGTCCCCCAGCCCTGGAGGCTGGGGAGAGAGCGCCGTCATCTCTGTAGGTGGGGGTCACTACGTAAGTTATTTTTGTACATGTCTGGGTGTGGGTTCTACGGCCTCTTCCCCTCCCCTCTCAACCCCACCGTATGAATTGTACAGAATATTGCTATTGAATTCGGGACTGTCCTTCCTTGCCTTTATACACATTAAACACATGTGAGTCTTCGTTTTCTTCTTGTATTCCCTGAGGTGCCTGGGCTCGGGGCTCATCTTTGCTCCAGTATCCCCAGGCTGCCAAGCGTCTGCCAGTCTTTCTGACGCTGAGGCCAGTCTCCGCCATAGGCCCAACTCCTTGTCCGGCAGGCCTCAGCTCCCGGCAGGCTCTGGGCGTGGCTCCCTGGCGCCCAAGGCCGGCGGATAGTAGGGCAGAAAGAGGCTTTCGGACGCGCAGCTCCTCATGGCATGGTACGTGTGGAGGAGCAGCCGCGGGAAGCGGTTTGTGAAGTACTGGACGAAGCTGTCGGGGATGCGGCCGAGCGCCTGCCGTACCTCAACCGGGAGCTCCCTGTAGTGGTGTTTCTGGAGGGGTAAAGCAGAGAGCCTGCTGCAGCTGTGACCAGGTGGCCCCAAGGTCCAGGCCCCACCCAAGCCCTAGAACATACCTTGTTCCTCATAGCGCGGAGCAGGTCTCGCACGGATGTCCCTTTGTACGTCCGGAATCTTCTCAGATCTGGGGGCAGGGAAATCATTGGCAAAGCTGCCCCTGCTGGGCCCCCTCAACCTCCCGGGCCCACCCTGAGTCTGGCCTCTACCTGTCTGCAGCGGCAGCGAGATGTGCTTGTGCCAGTTGCCCCGGACCACCTTGGAGCCTCCTGCCTCGAGTGCCATCACCAGGGGCCCCTGCTCAGACTCCTTCTCCAGCCAGTCGCTTATGTCCTAGGACCCCATAGAGCTCCTGAGCCTCATGACCAGCATGAGAGGCCACAAGGCCAGGAGTGTCCTGGGGCTTGGGGATGGAAGCTGCAAAAGCTTCTTGGTTTAGGATGGTGAGGATTTTTGCCTCCTGTGGAGCACAGCTTCTCTGCACTGACCCCGTGTTACCCCGCCAGGTCTTCACCAACCTGGGAGGTGGGTACTGTTGTCCCCATTTCACAGATGAGCAAACTGAGGCTCAGAGGCACAAAGTCCTTTGCTCAAGGTCACACAAGTGCAGTGGGTTCTGTGGGCATGGGTATAGCATGATGACACTATGGCTGAAAAGGGGCTGTAGTCTCATACACAGGCAGCTGGGGCTGGGAAAGTGGTAATGAGCAACTGAGGAGTGCCAAGATGGCAATGTTTAGGAGTCTAGGCTCCATCTTGGTTTAGATAATGAGCCCAGCTGCCTGGGACTTGCTGGGGCCATTCCCAAGATTTCCCCCTTACCTGGAAGAACTGGAGCTGCTTGGCTCGGCTCCAGAAGAAGGGGTGGGCCAGCACCTGGTACGCAGAGGGCCGTGCCTGTGGCAGCGGGCTCAACATGGCCTCAACCAGGTTCCGCCCAACGACCTTGTCTAGGGGTGAAGGGGAGGGATGGCTTCAGGCCTGCCCAGCCTCATGCCCTGCTTATTCCCCTCTCTCCCGGGCCCAGATCCCTCTCACCATGGGCCTCTTCCTCCAGGTGAGCCAGACAGGGAGCCCCTGCAAGGATGTTTGCCTGGCGATAAAGACTCTCTCCAAAGGGGTGGCTGCCACCGGAAAGCACGTAGTAGAACATGCAGCCTGCGGAGAAGATGTCCACTGCGCTGGTCTGGGGGCCAGAGAGATGAGCATGAGGAGGGCGGCTCTGCTTCCAGGAAGTCTGCCTGGCTAAATTCTCCCAGGGGCTGGGACGGAGCTGGGGATTGTGTTCAGACTAGAACCGAAGGATGCTTCCTGAGAGCATCTCCTTGGCCCTGGATCCCCTCCCTCTGTACCACTGAAAGGGGCCCATGGTTTTCAACCAAAATCTTTATCCCTATTGAGTTTCTAGTTGAGGTTTCCAAGCACCATTCCTCCAGGTGTAGCAGGTAACTGAAGCTGGCCAGGCGTTCCTGGCCACAATTATTCCACACAATAAAGTGGCCATGAGAACTCCATCATCTGGCACAGGCCCTGTCCACAGGTGGCAGCTAGTACTAGCTCCAGCTGATTGCCTCCTGGGAACTCTCCTGGGATGGCAGAGCTTTGACTTTCTTTTTCTCTTCTTTTTTTTTCACTGAGGAAGATTTGCCCTGAGCTAACATCTGTTGCCGAGCTTGCTCTATATGTGAGTCACCACCACAACACGACCACTGACAAGTGGCATAGGTCTGCACCTGGGAACCAAACCTGGGCCACCAAAGGGCAGCATGCCAAACAACCACTAGGCCTCGGGGCCCGCCCCACAGAACTTTGATTTTCAAAGAGAATCCAGAAATCCAGATTTTTCTGTGGAATTTCCCAAATGTTCAAATTATTGGCCACTGATTAAAGAAACAAGACCTGTACAGGCTCACAACCTCAGTGCCGTTGGTCCTTGGGCCTCAAGATGGCCATTTCTAGCTTTCTCTCTACTTTAGGGGTGGGTGTGGCTTTGCCTAGTGACTTTCCTTTTGGTGTTGTCTCATCCATGCCCATGACTTCAACTTCCACCCACACACTGATGACTCAAAAATCTATAATCCTGGGGTCCTAAGTCTCTGGGGGTCAGACACTGCTGTGTGCTTCAACTGTATTAGCTCATCTGATGTTCCCCCAAACCCTGACACCAGGGGTTCTCCACCCTGGATATAGATTAAGCCACCAGGGGGCCTACCCCAGGTCGACTGGGTGAGAATCACTGGGTGTGGGGCCTGAGCAGCTGACTCTTTTTTAAGTTCCTCAGTGATTCTGCAGCACAGTGAAGACTGAAACTATTTTAAAAGTCAGAGTTTCTCAGGGGCTGGCCCCGTGGCCGAGTGGTTAAGTTTGCGCGCTCCGCTGGAGGCGGCCCAGTGTTTCGTTGGTTCAAATCCTGGGCGCGGACATGGCACTGCTCATCAGACCACGCTGAGGCAGCGTCCCACATGCCACAACTAGAAGGACCCACAACGAAATATACAACTATGTACCGGGGGGCTTTGGGGAGAAAAAGGAGAAAAACAAAATCTTAAAAAAAAAAAAAAAAAGTCAGAGTTTCTCAACCTTAGCACTATTAATATCTTGGGCCAGATAATTCTGTGTCCTGGGAGCTGTCCAGTGCATTGTAGGATATTTAGCAGCATCTCTGGCCTCTACCCTCTAGATGGCAGTAGCAAGCCCCGCTACCACCACCAAGAGCGACAACCAAGACCATCTCCAGACATTGTCCAATGTCCCCTGGGTGGTAAAATAGCCCTTGGTTGAGAACCACTGCTCTGGGTAAGAGGGGATGAATTATCCCCACTTAACAGATGAAGAAGCAGACTTGGAGGAGTGACTCAAGGTCACGCAGCAGTGATGCGGAGCCTTCTTGGGAGAAGCAGAAGGCCACGGAGGGATTCCTGTGGCCTGGGGCTGCGGGACGACTCACAGGGCTGTCTGGGGGCAGGAGCTGTAGGAGCTCGGGGGCCATCCAGCCTTCCGTGCCCGGGATGCCCGAGCGGAGGCTGAAGCTGTGGCGGCCGGCCGGCAGCTTCTTGCAGAGGCCGAAGTCTGAGAGGACCACCCTGCCTCGGCCCAGGCTGTCAGGCCCCGCGATGAGAACATTGCCCGGCTTCAGGTCCCGGTGCACTGTGAGAGAGGAGGGGAGAGCTGAGGGCCGAGGAGGGGAGGGCAGGGGCTTGGGTTGGAGAGACGTGGGGGCCTGGTACCTATGTGTAAGGAATGCAGGTGGGCCAGGCCGGACATCAGCTGCTGCAGCACCATCTCAGGCTCCAGGCCCCAGCGGTCCAGCTCTGGGTTTTCCACGTACTGACGAGCAGCAAGGAGCAAAGTGTCACCCTGCAGCCCCAGACCTCCCCACCACCCCACCCACACCTCCCTGAGCTCCAGCCTCACCTCCTGCAACGAGGCCTGGCAGAGCTCCAGGGCAATGTAGTGGAACTGGGGTCCCCGCTCGGTACAGAAGTAACGGAGCACATTGGGGTGCCTGTCCGACTCTTGCAGCAGCTGGACCTCCCGCCGGACCAGGCTGAAGCATTCACGAAGGAGCCGCTTGACAGCCACTGCCCGCCCCTCGAACTGTCCCCTGGCAGGCGGGCGAGCAGAGGTTCAGGGAGAGGAGATAAAGCAAAACGTTAGCAAGTGGTGAGTGAGTTACCCACCTGCACCCACCTCCGGGAGTCTTTGAAAGAAAGGCTCTCCAAGGGACAGTGGCCGAAAGGGTTGTGAGAGCCACATCTTCAGCCCGGCTCCTGGCTGCCACTCACCGGAAGACGAACGTCCCGCCTGCCCCGCGGCCCAGCACGTCCCTTGGGTTGAAGGAAATCTTCCCCACCACGGTGAGCGGCTCAGCTGCGGGGAGAGGAGGCCGGGGTCTCCGGGAGCCTCTGCTCAGCCCAAGGCCGCCCCTCTGCCCAGTCCAGAGCCGTCCCGCTGCCCCCACCTTTCTCTGGACTTCCACGCTCAGCCTGCTGCCAGACGGCCCGGGGCCAGCGCCTGGGGCTGCCACCTACTCTTTGCATGTACTTGGGTGAGTTACTTAACTGCTGTGCCCCAGATTTCTCCTCTGAAAGTGGGACTCATGTAATGATCTCGCATGGTATCATTGTGCATTAAATGAATCAAAGGAAGAAAGGCAGGGGGGAGGTTTGACATACTATCCTCTTATCATTCTCCCTCTTTCGGTTTTTTCTGCCCAGGTTTCTTCCCTTTACTTCCTCTGGCACTCTCCCCACCTCCACCAGTTATAATAAACCCTTTTAATTGAGGAATTGGCTCCAAACAGGAAGGTGCGTTTGGGCAGTTGAAAGCGCAGCCGGGGGAGTGCAGTAGCAGAAAAGACTGCCCCGGACAGGAGGGGAGCCGCGGACCTCTGGAAGCTAAGCTGCCCTAGGGCTAGTCCTGGGAAGGCCTTGGTTTCCTGTTAGGAAGGGTGGGGTTGGCTCAGGCAGACAGAGGTCCGTAGACTTAGACAGCTACTGCTCTTCCCTTTGAGTAGCTTGCAAGAGACCCCTGACAGGGACCCAGACACATCTGGCCAGGCCGTGCTCTGCTCAGCTCCAAGGGGCACTGTTCATACAGCCGAATGTATCGGGCACCCCCAGA